CGTGTTTACACCTGTAGCAACAACCAATATTCCTAGAAAAATTAAGTTTCGTTGGAAAGGTCCGTACCAAGTTATAGAGATGATGACAGATGTTACAGTAAAAGTTGATTTTGGCAAATCAACTCTTGTCATCCATACTAATCATTTGAAAAGTATGAGTGATACAGATGAAGCAAATACTACTACGGATGAATCAAAGTGTTACTCAGATCTTCTATAATCGGCACGATTTAAACGGAGGCGTGGGTAGTTGTGGCAAAGCTAGTTTCATTTTGTTAGTATTTGTTTTATTTATAGTCTGTAGACACCTAAATAGTCGAGGCTATAACAGCTATATTTAGATATAGGTCCCTGTAGTTATATCAAGTGAGGGAAAGGATATTTGATAACTCTGTGAATAGTATGTTGACAGACTCTTTCTAAGTTTTATAATAATATTGCTATCTGCCATATATTATGTTTAATTTTATAATTTAATAGAAGCCCATGTCTTGTTATTTTGGATACTATTAGTGAGTTTATATCCCTATTGTATAATCTATTTTGTTGGAAATGTACCATAATACATTGTCTAATATTATTGAGTATTATTATTATCTCCCCTTTACTTAAATAGCTGAATTTGAATATATAGCATGCAATTATAATTTATGTGAATATCCTATAACTTATTAAACGTAACTAAATGATACTTTTGTATATCAACTTAATCATAAATCACATTATGTCCATCTGTTAAATAATGTTGCATTTATATTGTTGACAATGTGTACTTTGTTTACATAAGGACTGTATAGTTTATAATTTTGCATGAATAGAGAATGAATTCGCACGTTCGATGCCATCCTGTCGAGACGGCCAGGCGAACGTGTTATCCCGCACTAGTACCCTGGGTCGAAGCGAAGCTCTAGTAATTACACCTATAGTTCTTGAGGAATGCTCTTTGAGCACACAGCCTTTAGATGCTTGCATCTAATGAACAGACTTTAAACTGCTTACAGTTTAAACACAGAGAGAGAGAGAGATGGGGTTTAACGTCCACTCGACACAAACTAGGTCATTTCGGGACTAACACATGGTTCAATTTTATTTCAATAATTCACTTGCGCGTAGGGGTCTTTAGCAGTGGGAGGAAACCGGAGGACCCGGAGAAAACCCACGAGGTTGGACAGGCGACCATACTCCTTGTCACGTACAACTGGGGATTCGAAACCACACCAGTAGACTCAATGACAGACTTTATGATACAGCACGCACGTGCTAACCGTTTAAACACAGATACAGCATTTAAATGCTTACATCTAATGAACAGATACAGACTTTAAACGCTTGCGTTTAATGAAAAGAATACAGCCTTTAACTGCTTGCAGTTAATGAACAGTATAGCTTTTAGCTATTACACAGAACAGATCACAGAACGGCTTGAACTGGGACAGTTCGCCTCTTTATAAATTGTATAAAAGAGTTTCCCCAGTCCATTTAAACTTATCTGTATATATGTTATAATACATAATAAAACTTTATAGTTTTATACAGTTTTGTTCCGTTTGTTCGAAGAGAGAGAGCCGAACATAGCACAACTACTTTTTAGCTAGTCCGCCTTCTCCTCTGAAGAAAAGCTCTACTTTAAACGGCTTGTGATCGGCCAATAGATCACTGGTGGCAGAGAAATTACCGGGGTGTGGGTCCTGAGCAACCATTGCGGCAGATTCCCCACACTACCAAACCGCTACACCATTTCGTGGCGAAAGACAGAAGAAGAAGATAGAAAAAGCGCGCCACAGAAGGTAACTTTTTCCATAGTTTTAAAGCAGCAGAAATAAAAGATCTTCCACCAAACGCGGATTTTGCATGATATGGCATTTGGTGACTTAAGTGTGCCTGCAGGAATATATGGAGTGATGAGCAGTTTGAGGTAAACAGGTAAGTCTTTAATGCAGTTGTAAAATAGTGGTGATATGTTCATTAAGTTTAGTTCTAGTTTTATCCGAGCGGCTTTGTTTTGAAATTTGTGTAGTCTATTTAGCTGAAGAGAAGGCAAATTAAGTAATAATCAATCAAGTCGAGAGGTTACAAGTGAGTTGACAAGCCTTTTAGAAGTATCAGTATCAATAAAGCTTCTTATGCGACCTATATTATATAGTTGAAAATTGACGGATTTACACGTATTCGATACATGTTCTTTCATGTCAAGATTTTTACCAAATTTAACACCGAGGTGCCGTACAATGTTACTTGGATGTATGATAGCACCACCCACTTTAACACAATTTCTAATAATTTTCGAGAGTCTATGATCGGTTCCTATTTTTAATAGTTCAGTTTTAGCATCGTTTAGTTTTAAAAAAATTGCTTTTCATCCTGATTTTTTACATCATCAATACACTTCTCCAAATTACTATTTGTTTACTTTCGTTATCGGATGTAACGTATAGTTGGGCGTCGTCTGCGTATATATGATAGTCTAAATTGTGATCTCTAAGAAGTTTACCAAGTATAATAATAACGGATGAGTACTGATTCTTGCGGAACTCCATATTTTTTGTTCACTGGTTTTGATGACTGCTTTTGTATGACAACGGACTGTTTTCGTGAAGTGAGGTACGATTCAAACCATTTCAGGGCAGAGCCAGCAATTCCCAAATAATCTTTTAAACGTAGAAGTGCCTGGTCAAAAGCGGCACTTGTCTAGACGAACAAGAAATACCACATATTAACTATCCAGACTAATTAAGATATCCTTGTTTCTGTACTATGGGGTTTTTTTTGTACACTGATTGAAAGGGTTCGTCTAAATGTTCAAATTTTAAGTGACCTTGAAATCCTACAGACACTGCCGTTCCCACAAGTTTAGATAAAAATGACAGATTAGATACAGGCCGATAATTTTTGAAAGTATTTCTGTCAAAAGTACTTTTTCTTTTTTTTTTGATGGAAGCGGTGATGGAAGCGAATCTAACTTGCATGTTGGTGATGATGATTTGGCTACAATGTTAAGCTGGTTAATTTCTTCTCTGATTTGAGAAGGTGGTGAACCAGGTGATCAAAATATAAACATCTTCCACAATGTTTTCTAAAACCTTAGTGTTCACCACATCGAGTAAATGACATTTACTATGCCTACTGCCGGTAGTAGAGAGAAAAAAAATAAAGGTCAAAAATGCCTAAAGAAAGTACTATTGTTTAAATGTCTAGATGTTTCGCCAGAGCTTGTCAAGACATACAATAACAATGACGGGACGTCATGGAAGAATAAACATACAATAATATAATAATAATGAAGTAGATAAATAAAATCTCCTACCAGTCTTTTTTTATATCAAAAAATATCAACACAAGTTGATAAAGTAACGAAAAAAAAAGGCTCTGAGTAGGAGGTTTTATTTATCACCCAATCCTTTGTAACATGCACAAATAGATAAATATAATTATTTGCTGTAGATTTCACTTTTACTGAACATTACGGCGCAGTGATACATCATTTTTGACAGCAATTTAACCATTGCAAAGTCCTTTATATTGACCCAGTGTTTCCATCAAGGTCAATTAAATCACAATAGTTCATTTTTAATAAAGAAAAGTTACTTTAATAAGAAATGAACTGTTCTTTGAAAATAAAAAAAGTAGTTCCTTTTCAACTGACCAATCAAATTCATGTAAAGCGATATCTCCTAAGGAGATATCTAGATTATGTAATATATCACACAAGCGATATCTACTGTAGAATGTATTATTGGGTGATAATATATAATATACATATTGCATCATATTGTAATTATTTTGAAATGTTTAATTTGGGTTTAAATTTGTCAATAAAATATTGTTCCTTCGATCTCATTTTCATGGGATCTGAATACGGCATCTTAAAGAAAGGGTATATTTTGAACTCGCCTTTACCGCAGATATCATTTAAAGGGATCTTCCTTAAATTTGGTTCCCTGATATGTTGTCTATGAACCGTTACTCTGTTTTGTAACTTGTTCGTGCAACCGATGTACATAGCCTGGCTAAATTACTAATCTCATCAAAATTCGAATCAACTAAAATCATACCCACAGTAATGAATCCAAATTTAAAACGTGTTCAATCATAATTGAAGGTTCATCCATAAATATCACGGACAATTTTACATTTCATGTAAAACAACCAATGACTTGTAAATCCGATTACATTATTATAATTTGTCCGAGCTGTAAGGGTAGATATATCGGAAAGACCATAAATATGCTTAGATTAAGAATGAACTTCCATCGACAACATATTCTTGATCCGCTATACAGGATGATATACCTTAGCCGACACCTCGATGTTTGTGGCAAATGCAATTTCAATGTCTTTCCGTTATATCAATTAAACAGCAAAACCAACGACTTATTAGAAGCAAAGGAATCATATTTTATTGAAAAATTCAAAGTGTTGATTTTTGTTATATTAACATAGTAGTTGTGTAAATTAAATAAGTTTTAATTATAAATGTTTAATTAATATATGCATATTATTTTTTCGTGCATATTATAGGCATTATAGTTCATTGTTGTAACCATGACGTTATTACGTGACATCAATTGTTGGAATTTGTAAAGTTTGTCTGAAGAAGCTTAATAAACCGGAAAGTACTCGCAAAAACCTAATTTCCTTTCCTAAAACATCTTTATTTCGAATATCTAACACCTAAGAGTAGCTTATATATATTCTAGAGGTATGTAAACATCAGTAGTTGCTAAGGGATATATAGTCTCGATCATAAGCGTACGGGGAAATTTTTGACTGGCGGGGCAGTGGTGGTTGGACACTTTTAAATTGGACACACTCAAGAAAACATATTTTTTTTACAAAGTAGAATTGTGTGCCCAAATTTGCCCTGCATTTGGTGCCCAAAATGGGGGGGGGCGGCCCCATCACCCCACCCCCAGCTCGTACGCCTATGGTCTCGATGTGTATAAACATCAACAGTTGCTATGGGCGATATAGTATGGAGGTGTGCAAAGTAGAATACTCACCGTAAAATTAGATTTGGGTGCAACTAACCGTATAAAAGTACCGTCGAATAAATGTGAGAATGGACCATGACCTGAAAACAAAAACTCAACATTAGATATAGATCAATTAACCTAACATAAGATATACTTTACATCAATCAATCTAACATTAGATATACATCACTCAACCCAACATTAGATACACATCACTCAACCTAACATTAGATACACATCACTCAACCCAACATTAGATATACATCACTCAACCCAACATTAGATATACATGGACATCACTCAACCCAACATTAGATATACATCACCCAACCCAATAAGGTCATTCCTAGACTAACATATATAAAATCTTACCTAGATCATGACACAGACCAGCTATTTTGACACATAAAACATCCTCATCAGTTACACCAAGCTCTGGTTGTTGTTTTTGAAGTCGTGAGACCATCTCACCAGCAAGATGACAAACACTAAAATAAAGAGCACATTATTACACTTGGGCTATAACTGTATGTGACAAGGGAGGTTGACACAGGTACCAGCGTATCGGATAAACATTTGTCCCGTTAGTCTGTAGTAACGCCGTACAGATTCGAACTCACTCTTATATCAAATGCCTATAATCAACCGTTCTTTTACATGCATGCCAAAGTGTACGCGGAACCTTGGTATTTCGTTTCATTTGAACAACTAAACAACTAAACGCCGTCCCTTATCCGAACCTCTGTCCTGCACCACTGACAAGGAGAAACCGCGCTGGAAAATTCTGGGGAACATGCTCGACTAATACAGGGATCGAATTCCGGACCTCATTAGGTCAGTCGGCGTTAAACCCTAATATTCTATAGAAAATATCACCAACATCTATCATACTTACCCTATAGAATGTTCAAATCTATTATGTGATGCACCAGGGTAGACATTATAAACAGGACCCATTTGTTTTAAAGAACGTAGACGTTGAAATTCTGGTGTATCAATAATTTTGATACAAAGGGGATGGATTTCAATATGGCCGTGAACAGGATCATTCAATACCTGTACAAAAGAAATAAAACAATTTAAATATCTTTCGGCGATCCCATGATGACATAAAACATTTTAAAATCCTTGGACTATTTCATTTATGATTATCTGGTGGGACAATAGACAAACCTACAAACAGAATATGAACATTTGTTAACCTCATTTTACCAAAAGATCTTCATTTTCAAAAGATGGTACACAAAATGCTGTTCATTTTTCGAGATCCTTCTCTACCAACAGAAACCAGTTTCTCTAGACTTTCTGTACCAGCGGATCATTTTCCCCTCTCAGTTTATTTACAACACCGAACGATTTTCAAACCCGACATACCAAGCCTTTCAGGCCATTTTCAGACACATAAGGCGAATGGTGGTGGTTAGGTCGGGGATGGTAAAGGCTATTTCATTGGCTAAAATTTGGTTACAATGTTAAAAAAAAAATGATTGAATTCTGGATTTTCAAATTCTATTACTGACTTATTGTAGCATTTAGTATGACCATTTAGCTATGTTCTAGCAGTAGATGATCCACGTTGGCTCATTAACCTGGTGTTGACCGAGAAAGTATCACTATCCCCAGTGATTTATCCACAAGCATGCAATTTTCGCCTTATGAGTTTTGGGGGCAAAACAGTGGACATGATCTTCACAGTCAATATCAAAGATATTTACAACCAACACTTCCCAATACTTATCATCCCCAATACTAATCATTTCCAACACTCATTAAGCCGATTATCTGGACTTGCACACCTTGGGATGTTATTTCCTTTGATCTCCCATGCACGTTATGAAACGTATCAACCTGTTGTGACGTCATCAGAGGGTGATATCTGATATCGACCCTAGAGACGATAGCAGATATCACCCTCTGATGACGCCACAACAGGTACACCGACTCTGAAAAGAAAAGGGTCATAAATTCTTTCTGTTAACATTTTATTCACTTAATTATTGTACTATGTTGTCAAACGATTCGGACGACGAACTTTGCCAGGCACATGTTACTTAGTGTCTTCATCTGACCATCGAAAACTTGTCTGAAACTAATATTCTGGATTGTGTAGTATATCCACATCAGTTTTTTTTTTTGTAATCCGTAAATGTGAAACTATGTTACAGTATTGGGTCTTTATATCAGGTTCAAATGACAAGACTAGTTTAGCATATTACAATACTTTTATTCTTCTTCTAACATATTATGTACAAAACTTAAGACTCCGTAATTAGCTTGTGTTGAGGGAGCCATGACCCTAGCTTGGCTAGGCACGTGTGCCAACTCTAAACTAACTTATTTTACATGGCCGTTGTCCGGTCTTAACTCCAGACCTGCGTGGTCTGAAGTTAATTTCTAGACGCCCTCGCCTAGCCTCCGACTGTGTCTTGGCCGGACCTGACTGTCGATTCGTTTGTTATCTGGGTTTATAAACCCTTCCAAACAAAGGATCTTATTAGGCATCTGGCTAATGTATCATATATCATACCAGGTTTAACATTCGATATATGCTTAACAGACAAAGACAGTTTAAATAAAACATGCCAACAACAGGTTAAGATTACATAAGGAATGCTACCAAGAACTCCAATGGTCGGACATCCTCGGTTACCCAGTGTACTCATTCCGTTCTACTCCACTATACCCTGGGTTAATTCATAGGGTTTCCACGATTTCAAATTATCTGCCCTGGCCTAGAATGTAGCTACGGTCTACGAAGCAATCAGAAAACAGTTTACAAACCAATCGTTTAGCATTCTCAATAAAACTAATGACCCTACATTATTATATGGACGTCTGGTCTTCATTAACATAATATATAATTGGTTGTTAATAATTACGCATTTAGAATAGGCCAACTCCTAAAATTGTCCGATGAGAGTTACTTCCCTTTGCCAACTTCCTTTTCAAATAACAATTCATAGGATTGGTCGATAAAAATAGCACAATCATCAAGGGCGGATAACTTGAAAACGTGTCTCCCCCATAGATTAACCCAGGGTATAGTGGAGTAGAATGGAATGGGTACACTGGGTAACCGAGGATGGGGGTCGGACAGGTTGATATGTTGATATTAAAATCACTTTCACGTGTCAAGGTGGCAGGAAGCGTCTATAACATCTGTGATTATGTAACATACCTTCCCTTTGTTTGAATAAAGTTATGAATTATATGAAATAACTTTTTAAGACCATTACAAAATTAAATATAAATGGAGTCGATAGTAACTACCCTAATTAAAATATAAACAAAAATACAAAAAATTACAATACACTGATAAAAAGTTATATGAACAAAAAAAAATGTAAATTGCAAAAGAATAAAACACTGGTTGAAAATTAATAAGACACTGGTTGAAAAGTTCATAAATACATAATAAAGTGTTCATATACGCGAGACATTGAAATCACATAATTATGTCGCAGATAATTTTACTGTTCACACACACGAGTTCTTGGAATCGCATATATAATGAAAAATATTCGAATTTGCACACGCGCGAATATCTGAAATCACATCTATATAAATTATTTTCATGGCAACACATGCGAGTATATAATATAAATCATTATAGTGGTCACACGCGCAATGTAGAAATTATATCCATTTTCTTCTTCCGTACATCTTCGTTTTTCGGAAGATACAAATTCTTTTTTTTCTTTTATTCCGTCGTCTTCTTCTTCGTATAAGTTTCCCGTAATGGCAAGGGGCAGTGTTTTTCCGGCAGTCTTATCTTTTCCATACCGCCTGGCCGGAACGGTGTGTTATGACATGTGCTATGCGGAGTATTATAACTGTCACCCGTGCCCAAGTTTTATCATCTGTTTATCATAGCATGGAGTGAACTTAATTAATAGTTAATCAAATAAGCAAGTGGAACAGACTTAAGAAGTTGAGGAATATAAATAAAATATCTCCCGAACTTTCGGGGCATCCCATTCATATATGGGGTACTACGTCAAAACACAAATAAAATCTCCCCCGTAAATATCGGGCCATCCTATTAATATTTGGGTATCACAAATAAAAATCTCTCCCGTAAATATCGGAGCATCCCATTAACATTTGGGGTAATATACACGTATAGACAAAACAAATAAAAACTTAGAGATAAACGCATTAATACTTTGTGAATGTTATTAGGTTAAATTCCAAATTACGATACTGTTAACCCAATTCTAGTTAAACAATCACAACACATTTTACTTCTCGATATAATTTTTAATCTTTTAAAAACAACATTGTTGTAAAACAAACAATATATATATATACAATTTTGTTTTAGTCATATTCCTACAAATAGTTAAGGACTTCTACTACTAGCTTGAAAGGCAATATATTAAATTTAGTAACTACACCATGATATTTAATAAAGCGTGATGATAAACTGCTGATTTCCCAGTTATATTATAATACATAGCACGAATGTCATTGTTAACCGTGGCCATGGTAGGATTAGAAAAATACTAACCTGTGAATACTAATAGCTGTGGCCTGTAGTCTTCTAATGGAATAGGACTTCAAACGTTGCTCTGGTCAGACGGCACCAATTTATATGTGACACTATTTCTTTCTATCAGGTTCAGATGACAAGACTAGTTTAACATCTTATAATACTTTTATTCTTCTAACATATTATGTACAAAACATAAGACTCCGTAATTAGCTTGTGTTGAGGGACTCATGGCCCTAGCGTGGCTAGGCATGTGTGCCAACTCCAAACTAACTTATTTTACATCGCCCTCGCCTAGCCTCCGACTGTTTCCTGGCCGGACCTGACTGTCGATTCGTTTGTTATGTGGGTTTATAAACCCTTCCAAACAAAGGATCTAATTAGGCATCCGGCTAATGTATCATATATCATATCAGGTTTAACATTCGATACATGCTTAACAGACAAAGACAGTTTAAATAAAACATACTAACAACAAGCTAAGATTACATAAGGAATGCTACCAAGAACTCCAGGGGTCGGACAGGTTGATATGTTGATATTAAAATCACTTTCACGTGTCAAGGTGGCAGGAAGCGTCTATAACATCTGTGATTATGTAACAACTATACCCATAACTAAATATGGAATTCGGTGGGTAATATTCATCATTTTATATTGCTTACTTCTAAGACGAATCTAGACATCCAAAAAAGAAGATCTTATATACTCGTATCTTCCAGCGCACACATGATTTTTCGCTCACTATCATGTTTATTATTCCGCCACACTGAGCACCTGTTAAAAAAGTTCACAGCCCACTGATTTCTGCGTAAGGTATTTATGGGCACGGCATTGTTGGCACTTTCACTGACGTCTTGTCACTCGAAATTGAAAAGGGTGTATCCCCTGTATCTTCCTCACAATCCGAGTACATTAAATCCTTGTTAAATATTTTCTGCATAAATTCTACACTTTGACTAGTTTTAAATAATTCTTTGTCAGAATCTACGTTTTCTTTTTCATCCATATTTTCTACAAACTGACTTGCGCGCATCAGTTCGTCACCCGAAGCGCTTGACAAAATTGCACAAAATGAATGCCATTTTGATTTTGTGTTTGGGAACACGTGGTAACTAAAATGTAATGCACGTGCTACTTACGACTTGTTTTCTTAACTTTGTCATATCAGTCTCAGGGCCGATATGGGCTAAACCATTGTTTTATAGGTGAAATCAGTTAGGATAGATTTAACATTGATGACGGTGTGTAAGACGAATAATACCCCAATACCCTCCAATCTTGGCTTGGGTTATTTCACATATCAACCCTCTGTAATATCTATCTCTTATCGCCTTTATACGAAGAAAAAACTAAAACAACATAAGGCTTTTATTAAATTACACATTAGCTTAGAAAAACTACTGAAGTCAGGGCTGACGGGACTAACATTAATCAAAGTTGTCAAAGGCATGCTTACTTAAGGTTACAATAATCGGTATCACGATTAAAAATGGCTTCTATAGTATGGGCATTGGGTACACCTTCGGCTAGTCTATGTGCTACTCTCATACTATTCCGGGGGGTTGGATGGCCGAATGGTTAGCACGCGCGCGCTTTATCATACGGTCTGTCATTGAGTCAACTGGCGGGGTTTCGATTCCCCGGTTGTACGTGACAAGGAGTAGGGTCGCCTGTCCAACCTCGTGAGTTTTCCCCGGGTCCTCCGGTTTCCTCCCACTGCTAAAGACCCCTACGCGCAAGCGAATTATTGAAATAAAAAAAATTAAACCATATGTTGGTCCCGAAATGACCTAGTTTGTGTCGAGTGGACGTTAAACCCCATTTCTCTCTCTCTCATACTATTCCTTACACCGGCTCGAGAATAATATTCAGCACTTCCTTCGGTAAATAAACCACAGTGGTCCATAATTTCCCTCAGGTCAACGTCTGGATTCGATAGAGCCAGGGTGAAGGCGCACCCACTTCTGAAACTATGTGGGGTTTCACTCTGATAGAGACCCAGAGTGGACAAATACAAACGAAGCCGCCCATAAACGACAGAATAGGTAACAGGATTATCAAGGGCGGTACCAGAATCCGACACAATCCGAAACAGATAACCATTCGATAAATTGACACCCATTAGCCTACAGCTACGCAATCGCATAGACAGGATAAATAAGCTTATCCTCACAACGCTTAATAACAAACTAGTTTTTCTTCGCCTTTAAACCGCGGAGTGTTTTCCCAAAAGTATGATTGAAAACGAAACCGGATGCATCGTCCAGGCTTCTAATGTCATGGCAAACAACCCTTGCACGATCACAAGCTCGATCACCGGCGAAAAATTGAAGTTTAAACCAAGCTTGGTCACGCAGCAGAACGAATCTTTCTTTAAGTGTTAAATCCGGTCGAGACAACTGGGCTTTTATACAACTCGCGATACGCCTAACTTTTGAAAGAAAAATAGGTTTGGGCTGCTTAGGAAGAACATGACTACGAGCCTGTTCTTCGCGTAATAATTTTAAATAACCTATTATTAAAGGTGAGCACACAGGGTGTTCGTGTTTATTCTCTTTAAGGACTTTATTGATTATCACTGTGCTCTTGATCCACAAGTTATCCACAGTTTATCTCTCCTTTATCATTACAACTTCCGGTACGATTTCTAAGAAAACTCCCTCGTGTCAAAATTATAAACAAACTAAACTGAACAGTAAAGGTGGACTTCCCTACATGAATTCACCGAGAAAAACAAACACGGACAATTATGATGTGAAGGACACGCAGTATGTATTTATGTCAGTGACAATACCTGCATAATTCATATCCATAATTACTGTATTTCTCTAAATTTGTGTACTGATTGTAGTGTAGAACTAATTTAAACAAAATTAAACTATATTACGTCTTGAAATCTCGCTTTTCTCTCACGAATACAGGGTTACCACGACAAGAGACCGAATCCCAATGTCTGCAATCAAGATTATGAATTTTTGTTTTACCAAAAGAATCCTTCCAAATAAGAAATTTTCTCACATCTTCTGGAGAGTAGGAAGCTAGAGTGGGCGATTCGTGGAGCTCGGAAAGGAAACGGCCAAATATTTGTAAAATACACTGTTGTCTTTTAAACGCAATTGCTTCTGTGGATCTATAACAGAACACAATTTTTATGGGAAACAATCACTGGTTTTATTCTAATAGCACGACGTTTCGACAAGTATCCTCTTATCGTTATTAAGCACAATGACATTTATAAACTTGGGTTTAATATATAAGAGTTCGTGATGAAGCCATTTACAAAAATTAAATAATAATAACAATAAGAAGTAAATGATTAAGCAAAAACAATACAATATAATAGACCCACGGTCCAACCAAAGGATAATATTGACTAACAATGAATGCCTTCAAAGGGAGCCATTGGGTGAAACCATATTACAGTTAAAGAGGTGATCAAGATGAGACCATTCACCAAGAAATGCAAACACAACATAACCTTACATCCATTGTCTAAATAAACATGAATAATATATGCTTACTAATTAAGCAATCCAGGAAATAAATGATGTTAAACAAATGAAAACCATAACAAAATATGAATAAACAATAAATAATGGGAATAAATAAGCAATATGATGTCATTAAACATGTATAGGTTGGCAGGCTGATTGTGAGAGACCAGTAGAGTGATATATTAATTAATGTAGACGGTTTGTAATACTTGAGGTAACGACGTAAAGTAAAGCCGCTGAATTAAGGAATTAGAACCCTTTAAGTAGTATTATTGATCCTGATAACGTGATCATATGCCCTTGAAATGTGAAGCCCTGCGTCCCTGTTCAGTTCTGGTGATTATCTTCTAATGTTAATTGCTTCTAGGATTTTCCTGGTTTTCTTGTTCTGTTGGTTGGATGTAAGAATCTGCACATCGTTCCATTCGACTCTATGCTGCGGGTGGTTTCGAAGATGCTCTGCTATGGCTGGGTTGTTGGTAGCAGCTTTGGATCTGTGTTCCGATATTCGTTTATCTAGGGGTCGTTTACTTTCGCCAATGTATGAGAAATCACAAGAGCAGTTGACTTGGTAGACGCTCTCGGAAATCTTCTCCAGGTTAACTGACAACTTCTAAAAGTAATACAAACTATTTAAAACACAGTCTGTAAGCAGACAATCGCCACATTAATCCACGGGTATCTCCACGAAATCCCTTCTTAGACAGGACCTCCAGGATACCACACTCTCGAACGGAGCCCAACAGTACACTCGAAAACAAGTGAGTATGCAATAATGGGGTCCAAACGGGAACTGGGTAGAAGATTGGAACCACAAACGTGCATGATTCGACCCTTTCATCCCTCAAAAGACACAAAACCGGAAAAATAAGTGAAAAGGGTGGGGGACATACGGGTTGATTTCTTCGCGAATTTGCTGAGCAAATACATTGACCCCAGAACTTTCGGGAGTGGGATCAGGCGTGAAGTGCCTCCTCGTCATAGAATTAGAATCCCACGCCAAGAGATCAGCAGAATGCGGGCCAAACGCTGATTCAATAAGGGCCCATGAATTCCCAGAGATAATTTCGTATCCAAATAATCTATTTACGGGAAAGGGATTTTCTTTTGACGATATATAATTTAATCTCAAATCAATATTCAGCCCCATGATCATTCGAAGCATTTCTTTCGTTAACTCATTCAAAGCCCTATGCCGAACACCTTGATTGTTCCAAGCATGAATATCTGACATATTATCCGTATAAACACCCACACGGCTATCCCTAAGTTCAGAAGTCAAGGGAGCAAAAAGATTCTAGGACCGCCGCAGCTTCCTTCAAGTGTATGGATCCTGCATCATCCGCCTGAAAATAGTCGCCTAATTCAAAAATATTGCATCCCAATAAATCATTCCTAAAAATAGCTACATGTCTGAAACTTGAGGCATCAGTTAACATAACCACTTGTAGAGTGGCCCACACACTCAATTAGCTGTACTATATAAACTGACTTGTTTTAACAGCATGTTGTCACGCGGATCAAAACTTCGTTTATGAGAAAAGTGCTCTCACGGGCTCGCTCGTGCACTGTAAGCAGCAAACAGTCGCCCAAAATAGACATTCACGTGACAATATTCATTCACTTATTTATCAATGAAGCCATGTAAAAAAATTATTCTTTACTCGTTGGAATTTAAAAATAAGTAGTTAAGAACTAGATTAAAATTTTGGCTAAAACTCGGCGATTTAATTTCTAAGTTAGTTGATTGTAACAAATGACGTATATATTGTAACGGTTCTCGGTTCAGAGTCAACTCATGTAGTTTCGCGCTTTTTCTATCTTTTAAATCCACTCTCGTGGCAACATACCGACACTGCAAGACTGCGAAAGTTACTTTTATTTAACCGTAAAACTCTGTTGTTAGTGGGCGCTTTAGTTACTTTAGAAGTTACATTGTGGCTAGCTCTAAATACGCAGAAAAAAATTGAGACTGGAAATTAATTGAACGAAATTCTTTTCCCTAGTCTCGATTAACCAGACGTGTATGATTAAAATAAAATTACGGTACTGGTCACAAGACTCGGATTCTAATCATTTTAGGGCGCTGCGAATTTGGCCTCCGTTTTTGTGTCAAATTTAATAGGAGGATGTGCCATTATGGCTATGCCATTCGTGTTTAGTATCCCTATGCATTCGCCATTTCTAACATGGTGGTTACAAAACGTTTCAGTTATTATAAATCCATCAACAACTCATTTTTCTAGAACTGAAATATAACCAAAAAGACGCGCATTGACTGTTTCATAATTATCAAAAATATGAAAACGCGATACGATGCGTAAATTGTGTGTCTTACTTTCGAGAACAATAGCTATAAAACAGAAATTTCCAGATTGATACATGATACGACACAACCAACCATAAGTGTTAATTCAAACACAAAGGATATATTTATACTTAAATTTCTCTAACATTTCACACAAAAAATCCCTATTGTAGAACTTCAACTCATTATGTAGTCATTGTCATGCCGGTTGTTTTTAATAACAGAATTTTCAAGTCATATAACAGATCAAAGAATTTTTTTCGAGACGCATTGTCACGTATCGACTTCTATTTTTGGATTATCTGGCGCCACAAATAGCCCAATCATATCAAAAAGCATGTAGTTCCACCTTGAAATGGGTTCAATGAATTTACGGTTTATTCTATAATTTATAACACAGTTTAGAGCACAATGTGTAGGAGTCGCATTTTTGACTTCTAAGTAGATTCTTATACGGAATTCCGGATGCAATGCTAGAAATTTGGACCACTGCTGCCGAACCGATTTGAAAATGCTTAAGGCTTTTTTTCTTTGCGCATGTCGTGTGCTCCTCTGTTTTTGATGTGTGTGATTTTTATATTTGTGATAATTATTTCAAACAAAATAGGATTATCATAAAGGATATTTAACATCTACAATATGAGTACGGTAAGCACTCTCTACATACTGCGTTTGTAAACCACGAAATTCACCCCTTATTAGAAAGTTTTAACTATAGTCTATTGCATGTAAACGTTAAAAAAATCAGCTCAAAATACAGACAACATCTCTCTCTCTCTCTCTCTCTCTCTCTATATATATATATATATATATATATATATATATATAACTAAGGGCTGCGCACGCGTACAAATGTTAAATTCAATCGTTAATTGTACGTACGTAAAAAAAAACGAAGAAAGCCGACTGCGGAAATTAAGAATTCGTTTTCCAGAGCAAAATTTGAAACTTTGATGTGACCAAGAAACATAACTCTTTTTAATGAAAAAATCTACCGCTGTAACGCTACTTGGGCGATCAACTTTTCCATGTAATTAGAAAGTCCCATTCAAATGGCCAAATCACACAAATATCCAACTTAGCAATAAATAGTTTAATTGTTAATGAATGATGATTTTAACGGTAAGTCTTATCATATTTGTTAAAATAAACCCCAAATATAGCTCGTTTATTGGATTTTTGTTATTTGCACGAACCACCCTACCACTTGACGATGGGACTCCGGGTGCCATTTGGAATGTCCCTCCCAATTATCCAAAAACCTCCAATGCTGCATCTCAGTCCGCAATTCGCTTCCAACAGTTACCATTGAACTATTCTTCTGGCAAAAAAATATCCCCAAGTTTATCTCTCTGCAACATAACTTACACCCGGGAATGGCCAAGGACAAGGAAATACATTTACCACTAAATCTTTGTAAAGTTTTTACCCCAACACGCTCGACGGACAAAATAAACTCCCTGGGCTCAATAAACGAATTTCATTTTTTTCCGGTGGCAAAATATAAGCTTCTGTCACCGAATCCACAAAAAAATCCTAAGAATTTAATACATTTAACCGGTGTGAAAACGCACTTCCCAATTTACAATGTATAACGCAACCTTGTGATTAACTCAATCATTGAGTAAGCTACCACCCTTACCTGCGCTTCTTGGCTACCCAATACCCCCCCCCCCCCTAACCGGTCATCAATATATTGAGTTGTTCTAACCCCGAAACTACGAAGATAAGAGGTAACGACCATACCCACGGATTGATATATAATCGCGGAGGCTTTCCAGCCGAAAGGCAAAGTAGTGTACGACATAATCCACTCTCCGAATTGTATCCCAAAATACGTCTGAGATGACTCAGACAACCGGACATGATCATAACCCGATTTTGCATCAAAAGATACCATAAAAGCTTCCCTATGGATTAAACGATGCACATCTCTTAGAGTGTCTAAATCCTTGATCCACTGATTCAAAAACCGTTCGCCGTGGCAAAGACGAAGCTTCGAAGTTTCTACCGTCAAAGGCATAATAATTTTGGGAAGGGGACATGAACCTACTCTACCCCAGACACGGATACACCCGCTACGAATTCTTTCCTTTAATTCTTCACGAATAAAAATGCTGAAGTCTTTACAAACGGAAGAATTCTCAAACATGCGACTCGGTGGGGTGTCAGAATCATAGGGTCTGCCCTTAAAATTACCCTTAAAATGTCTAAAGAAATCACAAATATTCACTCCGTCCGCCAGCCAAGACCCTGCGTTACTCGCGGTTTCAGGGGGAACTTTGTCTAACAAAGGCAGGTTCCCAGCTCCTCCCAAAAACGAAAGACACAAAGTTGACAAGTTGATTTTCCCCTGATGTCTGGATGCCTGCCTGGCAAGTTCCTCCAAAATATCCCGATCTTTATGTCCGTAATATCTCACAAGACTTACGAGCTCATCACGGGTCAGTAGAATTAAAGATTCAAAGGGATCATTTTGGGTGGCTAAGAAACTTACTTTACCCTTACGGCTATTGATACTCTTAACTTGCGACTTTTCCACCTTATCACACCTCCTCTTGGGCTCGACATGCTCTTCCTGGTCCTCCAAGGTCTGTTTACCATAACCACGAGTACTAGCCTGGAAGAAGAAAAAAAAACTAACAAGGAGGCACATAACAAAGAGGCACGAGATCCCGTAACAGTTGAAAACCCACCCGAGGTTCGCTCAAAATCTGTCCTTTTGGTTGACCGGCTTCGTTGGCGTATAGAATGGCGTGATGCAGAGCCAGTCTAGCTGAAGCCTCATCTATACTAATATTTGTTACTGTCGTTTGTCTGTCTGTTTGTCTGTCTGTCTGTCTGTCTGTCTGTTCGGGGTTGGCGGCTACAAGGTCTGCCCCGAGTCTGAAATTTGGGGTATAGGGGTAGCTCGGACCGGGGAGTAACATAGGCCAGGTGGCGTTAGTCTACCACTTCCGAAGCCGGGTATCCTGCTAGTCTAATCTATTCTTGGCGCATATCAGGACCCAATTATAACATATAACTCCGTCCGCGACATCTTTACAAACCGGTAAAACTTCAGAATTTGCACATTTCAAAGGAACAGAAAAATAACAGAATAAATCGATTATTATTTGGTCGCGCAGTTACCTAAAGCCGTCCACCAGGGTCCGCCACACTGTGCTCGGTCTGCAACTCTGTATAGTTGACCTACTCACAAAGATCATGCAAAGTCAACGAAAGAGTGAATAAACGCTCAACTCACGCATGCGGATAAAACCACTGAGACTTTTTATAGGATATTCCGGTGTGGTCCCAGCTTGCCAATGCCAGTGGCGCAAGGAACAACGTATAATCTTTCAGATGGGACGAAACAAAACCAAGGTCCTGTGCACACAGTGACTTGCACACAAAGGAACCCATGGCAGATGGAACTGAATTCGATATAAGAAAGAGTAAGCCGTTGTCCTGGCACAATTTCACTCATAGTACAGTGTATGGCGTATGCCCGGCTTCATAATCTCGCAATAGACATATCTAAAAACTAAACACTAAGAGGGGAGGGGGAAGTGTGCAACAAAAATATTTGTCTAGATGTTCTGGTCGATCTCAGAACGTAGCCTATACAATCTGAATAGTTTAGAGCCCACCTAAAACAACACAGTTGCACATGCGCATGTTTTCCGGTAGGACTATTGACGATGTTAGACAGATTAACAAGTTACAACAACGTTAAATTTTAATAAACATGTCAAAGAAAAGAGTTAGAAGATAAGTAAATAAGTACCTTTCCTGGAGTTATTTTATCAGCCATACTGTGAGAAACTAAGAATATAAAAAAAGATATGATGTCAGGCGACGAAACATACGCCCACAGCAGTTAAGCCATTCAAGCAGTTCACAAGGGTTGTCGCATATTTATTTACAAGACACGCAACAAATTAAAGTGGTATTATGGAAGATTAGATAAAGAGCTGGCAGTTCACACTACAATAATTAAAAACTAGATAAAGTATAAACAATTTGCTGAAAATTCCACACAAATTGATCCTCTCTGAACCGTCATATTGGATTTTGAATTTTAGGCCTAGCCTCGATCATCATTACTAAAGTCAGTGCGATAAAAAACATAGTCTCGAATATCCAGTTTTAAATCATCAAAGAGCATTGCGCAGCAAATCGGATTCAAATCCAGTAAATATCGGTTTTTCTTTTACTCGGGTTATTTGCTTCAGTCTTTCTTTCCCCAGTATAACCCCAGTCTCGTGATTTATCCTACACGTAACCTGCGAGGTGTTTCGGCAGAGGTCATAGATCGATATTCTTATGTCATTGATTATAGAGCTCATTGTGCTACCTGGGAGGTTTGTATAACCGTATGCCATGCACCTTAACTATTTCTACAAAAATCCAATTATAGTTTTTAGTTACTCACTGTAAGAGAGCCATTGAATCGTGATATATTGTATGTGTTGATGTGCTTACAATTTGTCAAGTGTGAGCGGGATATCTCTTCACACTTATTTCCCTATACAAGAAATAAAACGTGCGAAGCCTCGCCCCCGTGTTGGTCTAACGACACCGTCATCATAATATACATGTATGCACCTAAATGAGCAGAATAATTGTTTCAGATTTTACAAAATTCTCCGGTAATCCCCCTAAACCTCAGGCCAAACGTGACGTTGCCTCAACCTTTATGAACTCTCTGCTCAGATTCCTGAATAGGACACCGTTTGGGGGGTGGGGCAACTTCAAGGTTGTCCTAACATGATATCCAGATTTATTCAGATGAATTTACTCACCCCGAGTTATGATTTTCCTTGTTTCACTTGACTAAATTAACATTTTTAGGAATGTAGGCTTTTATAGATCGAACAAAAATTGGAGATAAGGCTTGAACCGCCCCATCTAAATTATTTCTTAAAGCATAGTGAAGCTTGAAATATGTCAGTTTTCACACTTTAGAATGCTTTTGTAAACAAATTTGTACTGTAGTGTCGGTGACGTATTCCCAATAATAGTTTTAAAAAACCAGCGGCTGCCAGGCAGGATACGCCCACATTTTGCAAGAGATGGATCGAGAACCAGCTAAAAACAAACGCAATTTTTTGTACAATCAGGGGCAATAATCGAGAAAGTTATGGTCTTAAAGGCGCAAATATCAAAAGAGACTGAGATTTTTGGGATATAAAGATAAGTTTTAAGTTTCATCAAAATCAGATAAAAATTGTGATCTCTACAGGGTCCACAACCTTCATATTGCATACTTTTACACAATTTGCGTACAACGAGCGGTCATTTTGTCAGGCAGTTTCATTTCGAATTCAAACTTCATTATGGTGGAATGTGACCACTAGAAAATCCACAAGCTAAAAATACGATTTTTCGACCAATCAGGGGCCATAATCCAGGAAGTTACCTTCGGTTATGTGTGATTATGAAAAGGAACCAAGATCTTTATGATAAAAACATATATTTAAATTTTCATCCAAATCGCATATAAACTGTGGACTCTAGAGTCTCCACAACCTTGATATACCATATTTGTACACTGTTTGCGTACAAGGTACGGCCATTATATCCGTCAGTTTTTGTCAAATTTTCACGGAATTCGAATTCAACCATCATTAGTGTATAACTGTGATATATTCACACGTTTTTTTTTTAAATTGGATAAAAATTGTATCCTCTATAGGGACCACAAGCTCAAAACGCGATTTTTCGTACAATCAAGGGCCATATTCAGGAAGTTACGATCGGATATGCGCGAATATCGACAAGAACCAAGATCTATGGGTTATAGTTATGCGTTTCAAATTTCATCAAAATTGTGACCTCTAGGAGATCATTTGACCAATTTGCCAGTAGATATACAGCCACTGGTCAACAAATGTTTTTCAACGGGTGTGGGGGGTGAATGGCCGAATGTTTTGTAGGCGTGTGCACGTTGCCTCATAAGGACTGGCGTGGTTGTACGTAACAAGGGGTAGGGTCGACTGTGCAACCTCGTGGGTTTCTCCGGGTCTTTAATGGCCTAGTTTGGGTCGAGTGGAAATTAAACTCTCTCTCTCTCTCTCTCTCTCTCTCTCAGTGGTTAACAAAAGGTACAAACTCGAAGTAACATAGAAGTAAACATGCCACTGTCGGCCCAACATTTCAACCTAACCAACCTCTTAACTCGCCTCAAAATCATGAATATTCACCAACATCGGGTAGAAAATATACATTCACACCTTTTCTTCAATTCTACATCAAAAAGTCAACAAAATTCATGCCATGCACAAGTAGGCAAAATGAAGAGAAACTCTAAACTAAAAACTAAATTCGTACTAACCTACGAAAGAACCAATGGTGACCTGTATCCATATGTACTAATGAAATAAAACCTAATGCCTGCTTCATACAAGGTTTTGTATTTAAAATGATATCAAATGTTTTTAACAAAGTCTATATAATTATATATCATCAATAGACACAAAATACATAACCAGGTCACACAGGTACAAGTATAAGGACACACCAATTAGACATTCTGCTCTTCGGGATCAACGTTTAAAGGGGCAGTAGGTGAGATTAGATCAAGAGCTGACAGTTATCGCTATAATAGTTAAACAATAGATAATGAAAAGGGAATAAGCTGAAATTTCAGTCACATTACGTCACTCTGAGCCAAGATATCGGCGATACAATTACAGTCTATCCTCGATTGTAATTACTACCGGTGTTACGATAATAAACAAAGTCCCGATTATCAATTTTTACGGTAACCATATCCACCAGAAAATGTATTTGAATCCACTAAACATCGCAGGCGTCCGATGGCATAGAGAGTTGATTATGGTCTTGTTAATGTCTAATTAAGAAATGAAATGGGGTTTAACGCCCTACTGTTCTGCTCCTAGTCCTATACTGGGCTAATGAAGACGGGCATACGTGTGCTATGGGAGAAATTTTGCCCGGGCAGCGGCATTATGGCTTACTCTTATATCGAATTCCAACTGCCAAGGATTCTTTTAAGTGCACACCAATGTATACACGGGACTTCGGGTATTCGTCCCATCCGAACGACTGGACAGTTGACAAGCTGTTTAATCTGCCTCTTTCTGCATGATTAGGTTATAATATAAATATGAAATCAGAGTCAGCTTACAAATACCAATTGCAGTGACCACCCTAGACATTCATCAAGTCGCCAATATCAATGATTCTTTTTATTGGCAATCAAATTGATGGTACTGGCGAAAGTTTTGGCGAATG